GGCTATCCGGATTCTCCTTGGTCCCGGCCATCGTGGTGTTGGGGTGTCAACCTGGCGTCCGCTCGATGATGTGTTGAACCTAAGTCGCCCCCGTTTACCGCTTTCCGATAGCCGAGCACAGTTGTACGGCATCCTCTCGCCGACGCGGGGCAACGCGTTGGCGAGACGATTCCCACCGTCAATCCCTTGGATTTACATCAGTGCGCTCCTCGCTGGCTTTTTGGTTTTCCCGCGTCCAGACGCCGATGCTGGGATTATAGTCTTCGACTGTGCTGCTATGGTTTGACCGCGGATACCGTCGATATGCGCGCCGCTGGCTGGAAGACTCACTTCCAGTTTGGGCCACAGTTTTACTAGTTCCTGATCGAGGGGCCAACAGACGAAGCCCAAGATGTCGTTTGGCATCTTGGGCCTTCGATGTCCGCTGTTTCAGCAAAATTCTGACTTCTGCCAAGTAGTATCTTAGACATTTATCTATTGAGGCGAGAGCAAAACATCAATCCAATTGATTTTCGTCCAGGGTAAGAAGGAGGTACGTATGAAACGCCCCTATTGTTCGCTCCTCGTCTGGCCCTGTTTTGCGGCCACGATGGTTCCTCTTCTCAGCTCCCCCGTATTCTCTAATCGATTCGGAAGTGGCTCATAGAAAGCGCCTGCCCGAGATCCTGGATGTGCAAGCGTACGTTGGAACAGCTCAGCAGGATTAGCGGAGAGATATCATGGACCGCGGACAAATTAAAAAAAATAGAGGATGGATTTTCAGCGGCAGGAGTTGCTGATGAGCGAGGCCCGCAGGCGGATGCGGGTCGAGTCGGCCAAGTTCAGCAATTGCAGCAGTTTAACCCCCCAGAGAAAATTGGTCCCGAAGGTCGATTGACGCGCAGAACAGATCGAGCTTTTAGAACCGATCTTCAAAAAAAGCAACGAGCTATTAGAGACAATGGCGCGAGGAGGGAAGTACGACTTTATTTTTTGAACTCCCCATCGGCCGGACCTGCTACTGTTTCGCCAAGCCGGAGTACGATCTGACCGAGCAGTTGATTGAGCGGATGGCAAGGAAAAGGAGGAAAGGCGGAGCAGCTGAGATGAGACGGATTCCGTATGTGAGTTGACGAGATTCTCCGACTGCTGCCGCCCGCTCATCCGCTGCTGCTCATCGACCGCAGTTCTCGAATTGGTGCCTTGAGAACGCGTACGTGGCCTTTAAGAAGGTGACTGCCACGAAATCGTTTTTTCCAGTGGCATTTCCCCGGTTATCCAGTCATGCCCGGAGTGCTGATCGTCGATGCCCTGGCGCAGCGGGTTGCGCATGATGCGCGCGGCATAGAAAAATCCCGATCCATGTGCCTTTCTTTCTTCTGCCTTTCTTTCTTTCGCCGGGATTGATCGCTGCAAACTTTCCCGCCCGGTCGTGCACGGGGACCAACCGCGGACTGAGCTAAAGTTGCTCAAGCAGCGGGGCGGATCCTGTAAAGTGCAAGGGCGAGCACTAGTTGAGAAGTGGGCGCCAGAGGCGGAGATTATGGCGGTATTGGGGTGAGCCGGGAGGCCGTTGAGTGCTGCATCTGATGATCGCCTTTATCACGTCCTCGAAGCGCAGCATTCACGATCTAGCCTTGATAGACGCCATTTTCTCTTTTTCTCCACGCCTCAAGAGATGGAGCAGTGGGTCAGCACTACGGATCCAATATCCTCAATCGCGCCGGGGTCATGGCGACGCTGTTCTCACGAGCCGAGTACGCGCACGCGGCTGTCCTTTGATCGCGATGACGCGGTGGGGCGGGTCGGTGAGTACGACCGAGAACGCCACACGAGTTCTCTCGTCGGCGCCAAGGGGAGACTCTCGAGGACACCATTCGCGTCGTCGCCGGGTTCTCGGACGTGATCGTGTCTGCGCCACTACGAAAGCGGCGCTAGCACCGAGCTGCTGCGGTCGCCGGCATCCCGGTGATCAGACGCGTCCGGCGACGGAGCTGGGCACGACACCGACCCAGGCGCGCTGTGTGGACTCTTTACTATCACGCGCGAGATCGGCCGCTGCGAAAAAACTTACAATGCTTGGTGGGGGATTGGCAATGGACGGACGGTGCGTTCGCTGTGCTATCTGTGCCAGTATCGAGGGCGTTGAGATGTGCTTCGTCGCGCCTGAGACAGTGAGGATGACGGACGACAATAAGGAGTATTTTCAGCGGCACCGATGTCCCTTTCCGAGGAGGGTGGAACGACCTGCATAGGTGGCGAGGCCGGCCGATTGTGGTTATCAGACGCGCATCCAAAGGGGCGCTTTGGCGACGCACTGGGGAGTACGAGGCAGGCGCGGGGTAGTACAGCATGGTCGAATCGCTTCGGTGATGGACTTATGCAGAAACAAACTCGGTTGGGGGGTGGTTGTGGCATGTCAACCCGCTTCCGCGCGTCGATGAGATTGATCCGGCAGTGGAGCGCAGATTCCGCGGGCGGGCCTACTTCCGCCAAGCCCACACTTGGGCCTTTACGTGCGCATGCCCTTTTGCGATGAGTCCTCGCTTGACCTTAGTGGTGGTCCGCCAAGTATATTGCCGGCAACCGCTTCTTATTCTTAGGAAGGATATACAGATGGGTTCGAGTAGATAAGGCAGCAGATATGAGTGGATACGAATTGAGAAGTCGTTTTGCGGCGCGGCGCACACAGCGCTGAAGCGCTGGGCCAAGCACGCGTCAGGAGGCCAAGCTGTCACCGCGGAAGAAGTACGACTACTACTAAAGTTAGAGGCCGGGAAGAAGTCGGCACTTATTTTGTTTGAGAGAGCCGACAGATGGGCTGTCGCTCTTTTGTATTGAGGAGCAATGGAAGGGCCCTGCGCGGTCGCCATCGCCGGTGCCAGCGCATCGGCAGCATCGCCAAGTGTTCCACCGCGTCGGTGCGCAAGTCGTTGGCTTTTTTGGGCCGCAGTCGGGAAAAGTGGTCGCTGCTACAGAAGCGTGTTCTACTAGGCTATATTTTTTCTCCCCTTTGCGGGCCGGGGCTATTGGACTGCTCAAAAAGTGTAGATAGAGGGAAACTGGGGTAGAAGATTAATTGCGTAGTGGAGGGGGGAGGCGGTGATGAGAGCAAAATAATGGCAGGAGGAGATGTAAGCGTGTGGGTCAGGGGAGAGAAACGGTTGGACGGCGGACTGAAGATAGGGAGAGGGAAGGAAAGTGGGACTAGAACGATGAGTGCTCAATGTGGAATGGTGGTGGATGGAGGAGGGCAGGCAGTGGCGAAATGGAGCGTGGGGGAGGGAGGAGGATGCCAATGGAGGGGGCGCGAAAGGGACAATTGGAGGGAAGAAAGAGGAGGACGATAAATAGGGGTCAGATAGAGGGCGGGCAGATGGACAGATAAGAGGGAGAGGCGGGAGGAGGGCACTAGGGTGTGGTGGAAGGAAAGCTACTGAATAGATGGAGGGGTGGGAGGGATAACGTGTCGGGGGAGTGGTGAGAGAAGGGGGATTAAAGACCGTTAATACGGGAAGGGAGGAGAAGATCAGAGGGAAGAGCGCAGAGAAAGGGTCGCGAGGGAGCAGACAAGAGAGGAAAGGGGAGCTAGGGGAAAAGCGAGATCGGGAGTAGGGCCGGGGCATTTTTCCTCTCGTTCTGGGCCGAAGAAGCGCCCGAGTGGTCGATGCTGTCTGCCAAACGAGGGCCCATTCGACAGCGTCAAATGCGCTCTTGAGCGGGGTTGTCACGTCCTCTGCGAAAAGCCCTTAGTCTGGCATGCGGATGGGGCCGAGCAGACGCAGATGCAGGCGCGGGCCTTGGTTGATTTGGCGCGGCAAACCAATCTGCATTTGGGCGTTTGTACTCAATACGCTGCCGCGCTGCCCTACTACCGGCAGCTATACGAAAAGGCCCGTGGTTCGCTCGCTACCAGAGAATCCTTTTACGCGGAAATGGAGACCTTGGCGCGGGGGCGTTGCCGCAGCGCCGAGGAGGTGTGGATCGATATGGCCCCCCATCCTTTGAGCATGCTCTTGGCTTGGATGCCCGACGGCGTTATTGAGCCTGCTTCGCTACAAGTGGTGTCCGGGAGCGGGGAAGTGCGGGCCCGTTTTAGTTTTGCCGACGCGAAGGGCAGTTGTCGTTGCGAAATCATCGTCCGCGACCTGCACACGGGTCAACCCCTGCGGCGATTCGGCGTCAACGGCTTTTTGGTCGATTGCACGGGGCGGTCTGCGCCCGACGGGACCTATTGCTCGGTGCTCAGCACGGGTGAATCAGAGCTGATCGGCGATGATTTTATGTCGCTGCTCATCGCCCGGTTTGCCGAGGCGGCAATGCAGCCCGAACTAGCGCCGCTCGTATCCGGCGAAGTCGGGTTGCGCAACCTCGAACTTCAGCTACAAATTCTGCAGAGCGCCTAAGTGCGAGTGCGGGAGCAGGTCGCAAACTACCGTCTCGACGCACTGGATTTGATCTACTAGGCCCGATAATTACGACAATTAAAGGAGACGGCAGCATGGGAATTCCAGCGCACGATATAGAGGGCCAATTCGCAGCATTAGCCGAAATGCTCTCAGGCCGAGGGATCGAAGTAGAAGAAGTCAAAGCCCAGCTCAAAGCCCAGGAGATCGAGACGCCCTCTTGGGGATATGGCAATTCTGGGACGCGCTTTGGCGTTTTCAAACAGCCTGGTGCCGCCCGCGATGTCCACGAGCGGCTTTCCGACGCGGCCCAGGTGCATAAGGTGACAGGTGTCTGTCCCGGCGTGGCTTTGCACATCCCTTGGGACAAAGTGGATGACTACGACGCTCTGGGGCAAGAAGCGGCGGAATTGGGCGTGTGCATTGGGGCGATCAATCCCAATGTCTTCCAAGAGCCTGAATACAAGTTGGGTAGTTTCGGCCATCGGGACCCGGCGGTGCGTCGCAAAGCCCTCGATCACATGTACGAGTGCGCGGATATCATGCAGCAGACAGGGTCCACCGTGCTGAGCCTTTGGTTTGCCGACGGTACGAACTACCCGGGCCAAGACGACATCATCGAACGCAAGCGGCGATTTGAAGAATGTCTGAGGGAGACGCACGCGATGCTGCCCGAAGGAGCGCGAATGCTCATTGAGTACAAATTCTTCGAGCCAGCATTTTACCACACTGACATTGCCGACTGGGGTATGGCGCTCAATTTTGCCATTAAGGCTGGGCCGAGGGCCGAAGTGCTAGTCGATCTAGGGCACCATCCCCTCTCCACCAATATTGAGCACCTCGTGGCCCTACTCCTCGACGAGGGTCGGATGGGTGGTTTTCATTTCAACAACCGCAAATACGCCGATGACGATGTGACGACCGGGTCGGTCAACCTCTACGAGGTCTTCCTGATTTACCACGAGATTCTCAACGCTGAGCGGCGCGGTGCCGCCGCGGCTAACATCGCCTACATGATCGACCAAAGCCATATTATCAAGCCCAAAGTCGAGGCAATGATCCAGTCGGTGCTCAACATCCAGACGGCCTATGCCCGTGCATTGCTGGTCGACCGCACGGCACTAGCTGAGGCCCAGGCGGAGGACGACGTAGTGGCAGGCGAAGAAATCTTGCGCAATGCCTATGACACGGATGTGCGGCCCTTGCTGGCGATTGTGCGCCAGGAGCTGGGGGCCGCAGCCGATCCGCTAGGTGCTTATCGCCGCAGCGGCTACTTTGAGCGCATCGCTCTAGAAAGGCAGGGCGAATTAAAAGGGGCTGCTAGCTGGGGTTGATATGGGAGCGTCGAGGTGGTTCCGTCTTTGGGGCCGATAGATATTTTGTCCTCTCCTCTTGACAGAGCGGGGATCGAATCCTATTTTTCAATATTACGCTCGATACCTGAGCGATATTGATCTTTGAAAATCGAATAACGTACATGAGGGTCCAGCGTCGAAGAGCTTGGATTTGTAAAAAGTAGTACATCAAATTTTTCTCACGGAGAGTTTGATCCTGGCTCAGAACTAACGCTTGTGGTGTGTCTTAGTCATGCAAGTCGAACGAGAAAGTCACCTTCGGGTGACGAGTACAGTGGCGAACGGGTGAGTAACACGTGGGCAATCTGCCCTTGGGTTGGGGATAACACTTCCAACGAAGTGCTAATACCGAATGACAAGGCGAGTTGATGACTCGTCTTTAAAGGTGGCCTCTACTTGTAAGCTGCCGCCTAGGGATGGGCCCGCGTCGTATTAGCTTGTTGGTAGGGTAACGGCCTACCAAGGCGACGATGCGTAGCCGGCCTGAGAGGGTGAACGGCCACATTGGCACTGAGATAAGGGCCAGTCTCCTACGGGAGCCAGCAGTCTAGAAATTTGCACAATCGCCGAAAGGCGGATGCAGCGACACCACGTGGAGGATGAAGCCCCTCGGGGTGTAAACTCCTGTCAGAAGGGAAGAAGGTGCGGGCGTTAATACCGTCCGTTGCTTGACGGTACCTTCAGAGGAAGCTCCGGCTAACTACGTGCCAGCAGCCGCGGTAATACGTAGGGAGCGAGCGTTGTTCGGATTTACTGGGCGTAAAGGGCACGTAGGCGGGTATGCAAGTCGGTTGTGAAATCCTCTGGCTCAACCAGAGAACTGCAGCCGAAACTGCATACCTTGAGTCCAGCAGAGGGAATCGGAATCCCAGGTGTAGCGGTGAAATGCGTAGATATCTGGGAGAACATCAGTGGCGAAGGCGGATTCCTGGGCTGGTACTGACGCTGAGGTGCGAAAGCTAAGGGAGCGAACAGGATTAGATACCCTGGTAGTCTTAGCCGTAAACGATGGGTACTAGGTGTTGGGGGACATTGACCCCCTCAGTGCCGTAGCTAACGCATTAAGTACCCCGCCTGGGGAGTACGGCCGCAAGGCTGAAACTCAAAGGAATTGACGGGGACCCGCACAAGCAGTGGAGCATGTTGCTTAATTCGATGCAACGCGAAGAACCTTACCAGGGCTTGACATCCGAGGAACTTCTTGGAAACAAGAGGGTGCCTTCGGGAGCCTCGAGACAGGTGCTGCATGGCTGTCGTCAGCTCGTGTCGTGAGATGTTGGGTTAAGTCCCGCAACGAGCGCAACCCCTGTCCTTAGTTGCCATCAGGTAATGCTGGGAACTCTAGGGAGACCGCCTGTGATAAGCAGGAGGAAGGTGGGGATGACGTCAAGTCATCATGGCTCTTACGTCCTGGGCTGCAAACGTGCTACAATGGCTGGTACAAAGGGTTGCGATACCGCGAGGTGGAGCCAATCCCAAAAAACCAGTCTCAGTTCGGATTGGAGTCTGCAACTCGACTCCATGAAGGTGGAATTGCTAGTAATCGCGGATCAGCATGCCGCGGTGAATACGTTCCCGGGTCTTGTACACACCGCCCGTCAAGCTAGGAAAGACGGAAACACCTGAAGTCGCGATCCTAACCGCAAGGAGGGAAGTGCCGAAGGTGGAGTTGTCGATTCGAGCTAAGTCGTAACAAGGTAGCCGTACCGGAAGGTGCGGCTGGATCACCTCCTTTCTAAGGGGATTATTGGGAGTTTTAGACTCCTGACATTATCCGCCTAGGTCAATGTTTTACTCTTTGACCTGTCCTCATGTGCGTTATTCGATTTTCGGGGGTATAGCTCAGGTGGTTAGAGCGCACGCCTGATAAGCGTGAGGTCGGTGGTTCAATTCCACCTACCCCCACCATTCAGGCTTTTGCTCTTTGACAATCGAATACAGGTTCACATCAGTAATAATCTAAGGTTTACCGAGTGGAAGCGCGTTATGTGCTTACTACTTGAGACACCGCGATGCATTACCTCTAGTAGTGTTGTGACAGTGATTTTTGGTCAAGCTACAAAGGGCGTACGGTGGATGCCTTGGCACGAGAAGGCGATGAAGGACGTGATAAGCTGCGATAAGCCTCGGGGAGGTGCAAATAACTTTTGATCCGGGGATTTCCGAATGGGGCAACCCAGTGCAGGTCATGCTGCACTACCCTCGGATGAATACATAGTCCGAGTGGGGCAAACGGGGGGAACTGAACCATCTAAGTACCCCTAGGAAAAGAAAGCAACCGCGATTCCCCTAGTAGTGGCGAACGAACGGGGAACAGCCCAAACTGCCTGTATGTTAAAGCCAGCACGCGTTGTACAGGCGGGGTTGTGGGGCGTCATTCGACAAGAGTGCTGATTTGTCGGGAAGTTACCAATCGACACCATAGTCGAAGTGTTCTGGAAAGTTCTACCACAGAAGGTGATAGTCCTGTAGGCGAAATGGTAGTCGACTTCCTTATGACGTTCCCGAGTACCACGGGGCACGGGAAACCCTGTGGGAAGCTGGAGAGACCACTCTCCAAGGCTAAATACTCTCTCGTGACCGATAGCGCACTAGTACCGGTGAGGGAAAGGTGAAAAGTACTCCGAGAAGGAGAGTGAAATAGTACCTGAAACCGTACGCTTACAAGCAGTCGGAGGGGGCTTGTCCCCTGACGGCGTGCCTTTTGCATAATGAGCCGACGAGTTACTTGTATGCAGCGAGGTTAATTCACTCAGTGAAGGAGCCGTAGCGAAAGCGAGTCTGAATAGGGCGTTCAGTTGCATGCAGTAGACCCGAAGCCAGGTGATCTACCCATGGCCAGGATGAAACGGGAGTAAAATCTCGTGGAGGTCCGAACCGCCGAACGTTGAAAAGTTCTCGGATGAGCTGTGGGTAGGGGTGAAAGGCCAATCAAACCTGGAGATAGCTGGTTCTCCCCGAAATAGCTTTAGGGCTAGCCTCTTGTAAAAGAGTCGTGGAGGTAGAGCACTGGATCGGCTAGGGGGCTTACCCGCTTACCAAACCGAACCAAACTCCGAATGCCATTGACTTGTTCCAAGGGAGTCAGCGTGCGAGGGATAAACTCCGTACGCGAGAGGGAAACAACCCAGATCGCCAGCTAAGGTCCCTAAGTGTAAGCTAAGTGATTAAAAGGATGTGAGATTGCTGAGACAGCTAGGATGTTGGCTTAGAAACAGCCACCATTTAAAGAGTACGTAATAGTTCACTAGTCAAGTGATCTCGCGCCGACAATGTACCGGGGCTAAGCTTACCACCGAAGCTGCGGACTTCGCACTTCGTTCGCGAAGTGCGGATTGGTAGGGGAGCGTTCCATAGTAGGTCGAAGGTGAACCGCAAGGTTCACTGGACGAGATGGAAGTGATTATGTCGGCATGAGTAGCGATAAAGCGGGTGAGAATCCCGCTCACCGAAAATCTAAGGTTTCCTGGGCTAGGCTCGTCCTCCTGGGGTTAGTCGGGACCTAAGCTGAGGCCGAAAGGCGTAGGCGATGGAAAACAGGCTAAATATTCCTGTACCACTTACAGAGCGTTCGAGCTATGGGGTGACGCAGAAGTGAAAGGTCAGCCAGCGACTGGAAATGCTGGTCTAAGCTCGTAGGGGGGCCAACTAGGTAAATCCGGATGGCCGCTAACCCCGAGAAGCGATGGGGAGCCGTCTAACGGCATAAACTGACCCTAATCATGCTGCCAAGAAAAACCTCTATGTGAGTTCTGTAGGTGCCCGTACCGCAAACCAACACAGGTAGATGAGGAGAGTATCCAAAGGTGCGCGAGTGAACCCTCGTTAAGGAATTCGGCAAAATGATCCCGTAACTTCGGAAGATGGGATGCCCTCAGTAGATGAAACCCCTCGCGGGTGGAGTCCAAAGGGGCCGCAGAGAAACGGGCTGGGCGACTGTTTACCAAAAACACAGGTCTCTGCTAAGCCGCAAGGCAATGTATAGGGACTGACACGTGCCCGGTGCTGGTAAGTTAAGAGGATTAGTTAGCTCCTTCGGGAGCGAAGCTTTGAATCGAAGCTCCAGTAAACGGCGGTCGTAACTATAACGATCCTAAGGTAGCGAAATTCCTCGTCGGCTAAAAACCGACCTGCACGAATCGTGTAACGACTTGGCCACTGTCTCAACGAGGGACTCGGTGAAATTGTAGTTCCGGTGAAGATGCCGGATACCCGCGGCAGGACAGAAAGACCCCGTGAACCTTTACTATAGCTTGGTATTGGATTTTGGCACTGCATGTGTAGGATAGGTGGGAGGCTATGAATCGGGAGCGCCAGTTCTCGTGGAGCCGCCCTTGAAATACCACCCTTGCCTTGTTAAAGTTCTAACCTTGGTCCTTTGATCAGGATCGGAGACAGTGCCAAGTGGGTAGTTTAACTGGGGCGGTTGCCTCCTAAAAAGTAACGGAGGCGCCCAATGGTTCCCTCAGCGCGGTCGGTAATCGCGCGTAGAGTGTAAAGGCATACAGGGAGCTTGACTGCGAGACCTACAAGTCGAGCAGGTGCGAAAGCAGGGCTTAGTGATCCGACGGTTGCGCGTGGAAGCGCCGAAGCTCAACGGATAAAAGGTACTCCGGGGATAACAGGCTTATTGCCCCCAAGCGCCCATAGCGACGGGGCAGTTTGGCACCTCGATGTCGGCTCAGCGTATCCTGGGGCTGGAGAAGGTCCCAAGGGTTTGGCTGTTCGCCAATTAAAACGCTACGCGAGCTGGGTTCAGAACGTCGTGAGACAGTTCGGTCCCTATCCGCCGTGGGTGTAGGATATTTGAGGAGATCTGACCCTAGTACGAGAGGACCGGGTTGGACGGACCTCTGGTCTACCAGTTGTTCCGCCAGGAGCACCGCTGGGTAGCTACGTTCGGAAGGGATAAACGCTGAAAGCATCTAAGCGTCAAGCCCACTCCAAAACTAGATATCCCGTAGGGTTAACCTACCTAAAGGCCCCTCGTAGACTACGAGGTTGATAGGTTGCAGGTGGAAGCGCAGCAATGTGTGAAGCCGAACAATACTAATTGGCCGTGCGGCTTGACCATTTATTGTCGCAGCAATACTGGAGTTTTGCATCACTTTTGGTGTGGATCTGTATTCGGTTGTTGAAGAGAATTTGAGTTTTCCGGTGGTCATAGCGGAGGGGAAACACCTCTTCCCATTCCGAACAGAGCCGTTAAGCCCTCTTGCGCCGATGGTACTGCTGGGGTCGCCTAGTGGGAGAGTAGGACGCCGCCGGATTTTTTTAAAGCCCATCCCCTCAGGGGTGGGCTTTTTTGTGTCTGAGGGAAATATCTTGACAACGCCAAGGTAGGCCAATTAATTAAGCACTTCTCTTAATTCAGGAGGAGTCAAATTGAGCGAACAAACGAGAAATTTTTCTCTGTGTGGCCATAGCGGCGCGGGTAAAACAGCGCTGTCGGAGGCCATGTTATTCAACATGGGCGTCGTAAACCGCTTGGGACGCATTGATGACGGGACGACGACATCGGATTACGATTCGGCTGAGATTGAGCGCCAGATTTCGCTCAAGGTCTCTTTGCTAAATGGCCAGTGGCAGGATCACCGCCTCAACCTAATGGATACGCCGGGCTACGCAGACTTTATCTCCGAGGCCAAGGCGGCGCTGCGCGTGTCCGACGCGGCGGTCGCTGTCGTCGATTCGGTTGCCGGAGTAGAGATCGGCACTGAGCGGACTTGGAATTTCGCTGCCGAGTACAATTTGCCCCGGGTGCTATTCATCAACAAGATGGATCGCGCCGATGCCGACGCCGACCAGATCTTAGAGATGGTTCAAGAGCGTTTCGGGCGCCAAGTCGTGCCTTTGCAAGTGGCGGTAAACCCCGGTGAGGGGTTCAACCAGATTGTCGATTTGATTACCATGAAAGCCTATGCGTACCAAGATGGTAAGGCCACTGAAGGAGACGTACCGGACGAGGTCCAGGGCCGCGCCGAGGAGTTGCGCGAGCAGCTAGTAGAATCCATCGCCGAGACCGACGAAGCGCTGATGGAGAAGTATTTCAGTGAGGGCGAATTGACTGCAGAGGATATAGTCGCTGGTTTGCGCCAGGCCATGTTACGGCTCGAAATTTTTCCGGTCTTTTTAGGGGATGCCTACAACAATGTCGGCATTGATCGGCTGCTAGACGCCTTGGTGCAATACGGGCCATCGCCAGCCGAGTCTGCAGGACTCAGATTCCAAAATGGCGAGGAGCAGGAAGTTGAGCTTGAAGGTGCCGCTACTGCGTCCTTGGCTGCTTTGGTGTTCAAGACCTTGGCCGAGCATCACGTAGGTGAGCTCACTCTGCTGCGCCTCTTCTCTGGAGCGATCAAGCCCGGCGACGAAGTGGCCAACTCAAGCAATCGCAATACCGAGCGCATTGGCCAGATATATCACCTCAACGGCAACAGGCGGGTCGAGGTCGAAAGTGCTGAGGCTGGCGATATCGTCGCCTTAGTCAAGCTCAAGAACACCCATACGACCAATACGCTTTGTGCCAAGGGTGAGTCGCTACAACTTCCGGGCATTGTATTCCCCGAGCCGCTAATTCGCGTGGCTATTCAGGCCAAGGAGCAAGGCGGCGAGGATCGCGTCTCTACGGGGATTGCTCAGTTGCACGAGGAAGATCCGAGCTTCGTCATGAAATACGACGGTGAGGTCCGCCAAACGATCCTGCTGACCCAAGGCGAGTTGCATCTGGAGATTATCGTTAGCCGCCTGAAAGAGCGGTTTGGCGTGGAGATCGATATGGAGGTGCCGCGGATTCCCTATCGAGAAACGATCCGCGGCAACGCCGATGCGCAATATCGGCACAAGAAGCAGTCGGGTGGACGGGGGCAGTTTGGCGAAGTGCTTCTGCGCGTTGCTCCCAAGGGGCGCGGTGAAGGTTTTGAGTTTTCTCAATGAGGTCGTCGGCGGCAATATCCCGAGCAACTTCATCCCCGCGGTGGAAAAGGGCATCGTCGAGACGCTGAGCCAAGGGCCAGTAGCTGGTTACCAAGTCATTGATGTGGCTGCTACCGTGTATGACGGTAAGCACCACCCGGTAGACTCGGACGAAGTTTCTTTTAAGTTGGCCAGCGCTCACGCCTTTAGGGACGCTTTCCTCAAAGCCAAACCGATCCTGTTAGAACCTATTTACCATTTGGAGATTACGGTGCCCGAGGAGTTTATGGGCGACGTAATGGGCGATCTCTCGTCGCGGCGGGGTCGGATCAGCGGTATGGACACCGCCGGCCATTTCCAGGTCATCCACGCCGAGGCCCCCTTAGCGGAAATAAACCGTTACGCCACGTTGCTGCGCTCCATGACGCAGGGCAAGGGATTCCACGCGCAGCGATTCGACCGCTACGAGGACGTACCCGGGGATATCGTAGCTAAAATCATCGAGGATTCGCAGAAGAACAAGGGCAGAGAAGCGGCGTAAGCAGCTTGCTTTTACCCGTTGTGAAGGGCGGTCGGCCAGGCGGTCGGCCGCCCTTTGCTTTTTAGATTGCGTGGGTTTTTTTATCTTAATATTGTCATAGAAAACAGCCGATTTTCCCCGAGCAATGCTTCTTCTTTGAGCAGAGGAAGTGAGTATGGGGATTAGCAAGGAGATAAAGCCGATGTCCGGCCACTCCAAATGGAGTACGATCAAGCGCAAAAAAGGTGCTAACGACGCCAAGCGCGGCAAGATTTTTACGAAGTTGATCCGCGAGCTTTCAGTGGCCGCCCGCAGCGGTGGCGATGAGGAGACCAACCCGAGTCTGCGCGCGGCAGTGCAGAATGCCAGAGCGGCCAATATGCCCGCGTCAACAGATGAGCGTGCCATACGCCGCGGCACCGGCGACGAGCCGGGGGTGGTATACGAGGAGGGCCTCTTTGAAGGCTATGGACCCGGTGGGGTGGCTATCATAGTCGAAACCCTATCGGACAACCGCAACCGCACGGTTCCCGAAATCCGCCACGTATTCACTAAGTACAACGGCAACCTCGCAGAGAGTGGAGCGGTAGCTTGGATGTTTGAACACAAGGGCGTTATCGAAGTTGACAAGGCCAATGCTTCCGAAGACGACCTCCTGCTGGCGGTCGTAGATGCGGGGGGCGAGGATATCCAGGATGGCGACCAAGTCCACGAAGTAATGACTCCGGTTACCGACTTGGAGCCAGTTAAAAAGGCACTGGAGGACAACGGCATTGCCTTCGCCCAGGCGACGTTGGCTTGGATGCCCAAAAGCGAAAATGTGCTCGAAGTACAAGGCGAAGAGGCCGAGAAAATCATCCGCCTCCTTGAGGCATTGGAGGATTTAGACGACGTACAGAAGGTTTTTTCCAATTTCGATCTCCGTGAAGATGAGCTCGAAAAACTTATGGCTCAGGCTTAGTGAGTCCTCGCTTTGCTTGTTCTCGGAGTAGATCCTAGCAGCACGAGCACTGGCTATGGCTTCGTCGAATATAGCAAGCGCAAGGCTCGCTATGTTGCCTGCGGCTGCATCCGTCCGAAGGAAAGTGAGTTTGAGGATCGGGCTGGTTTACATGTTCGACGAGATGACGCGGCTCATCGGCGAATACGCCCCAGACGAGGGCGCGATCGAAACCACATTCTTCGGCAAGGACGCCACAGCGGCGGCCAAGCTGGGCCAAGCGAGAGGTTGCCTGATCGTCGCCCTGCGCAAAGCTGGCTTGCCCATTGCTCACTATGCGCCGACGGTGGTTAAAAAGTCGGTGACCGGCAATGGCCAAGCGACCAAGCAACAGGTCCATTTCATGGTAGCCCGCAGTTTGGGTCTGAAGGAAGTGCCCAAGCCCCTCGATGTATCAGACGCCTTGGCTATCGCGCTATGCCACACCCAGCGGGCCGGCCGGGTTGTATGCGAGGGCCGAGGGCAGCGCAAGCCCGAGATAGAGGCCTTGCTCAGCCGCGTGGTCCGGCGTTAGGTATATCCGTGATAACACACCTGCGCGGAACACTCCTGTCCAAATCACCTACCCATGCCGTCGTCGACGTCGGGGGCGTGGGGTATGGCTTGGCCATATCCCTGATAACGTTCGACCAACTACCTCCAGCCTCCGAGGCGGTCCATTTGTCTACCTATCTCTACGTGCGCGAAGATCGCATGGAGCTTTTCGGCTTTGCCGATGAGGAAGAGCGGGAGGTCTTCGAGTTGCTCATTGGCGTTTCGGGCATCGGCCCTTATTCGGCGCTAACTGTGCTGTCGGGCATGACCCTGCGAGACTTGCAGGAAGCCATCTTACAGGAGCGCGTAAACGAACTAACGGCGATCAAGGGCATTGGTCGCAAGACCGCCGAACGTTTGGTGCTCGATCTAAAGGACAAGGTCCGTTTGAGTGCTCCAGCGACCGGCGAAGCGGCCTTGGAGACCCACGCTGGCGCGAGCGAGGAGGCGGCAAAGGCACTGATGACGTTGGGATATGCAGCACCTGCCGCTCGCCAGGCGGTGCGCAAGTCCGTCGAAAAGCACACGCACCGACCTGAGCGTACAACAGCTAATCAAACTGGCCCTTAAGGAGCGCTGAAGGCCCGGCTATGGACCCGACCAATAGATCCTAGTAGCGCAGACGACGACCTTCCCTTCGACAATACGCTGCGTCCTCAGTCCCTTGCCGAGATGCTGGGCCAAGAGAAGACCAAGCAGCAGCTAGGCATTGCCATTGAAGCCGCTCGGCAGCGCGGCGAGGCCATGGATCACGTGCTGTCTGGCACGGTCCGGCCCGGTCGGTCAAGACGACGCTTGCGTCTGTGTTGCCAAAGATTCTAGGCGCTGTTAGAAATCATAAGAATCTCACTTCAGGGCGCTTTTGGCTCGAGTCGTCCGAGCGACTTGGCTGGCATGCTCACGACCATGGAGCCACGCGACGTGCTCTTCATCGACGAGATTCACCGCGTCAACCGCGTAGTCGAGGAATACCTGTACTCGGCGATGGAGGACTTCAGAATTGACAAAAGTCATCTATCGACCAGCCCGGCGGCCTCGCCAGGTCAGCGTGCCGTATACCGGGACCTTTTCCTTATGTCGGGGCTTCACGACGTCGCCAGGGTCCCCTGCTAACCTCGCCGATGCGCGCGCGCTTTGGGCTCAATGCCCACCTCGACTACTACTCGGTCGCCGAACTCGCCGAAATCGTCAAGCGCGACGCTCGCCTGCTGAATTTCTCGGTCTCAGAGTCGGAGACGTGGTGCGATGGAAGATCGCCCGTCTCGCTCCCGCGGTACGGCGCGGATTGCCTAAGCTGCTTGGCTGCGCCGCGCACGACGCGATTTGCACTCAGTGGAAG